ACCTGAATATTCTATAACTTTCATTAATAACCAGAAGAAACACAGTAACTCAGTCTACTTATACACTAGCAAATAAGAGACACCTTAGTTAAGTCTGCTACTATAGAATGTACCTGAATAAAGCAAGGAAGACATTTGACCTAAGATTACAGTAAAGTTGCATTCACAAACACATACCCAATGACTTCTTATACTCTGGGACATTATGCTATAGGATGGGATATCCCATTTAAGAACCTGTTACTCTCCAATCTTAATAATACAATGACTAGTATAGGTCTTTAGGTAATTATAGTAGTCTAACAGATATATTCAGACAAATAATAGTCTGAATAGCTGTCAGCATACAAATAAATCACATTTTAGGATGTCCTTAAAATGGGATGTCCTTAAAATGGGATGTCCTTAAAATGGGATATCCTTAAAATGAAAAGTCTCATTTTTATATAAAGTGTTAATAAAGCACTGATTTACTGTACTATGTAATTACAGTTTATATAGTATGGCAGTAATGAAAAGATGAAACAACAAATATACAATAGCCAAAAATACATTTTCTGCTAACAGTGGGACATCCTTATGTACCCCTGACACCATGGGACAACCAGTAATACTGGGATAAACAATTAATGTCCTAGCCTAGTAGGATATCTCACATAATAATCATCCCATATGCCCAGCCACTACCCTATCTATGCCCTGGGCAATGTCACAGAATGCCCTGGGACATAATAGGTATCATGGTCAGTCTGACACTTAAGAAGCTCTTAGCTATGACATACTATAGAAGATCTTATTGCTAAGAGCTAGGAATAAAGGGTACCCTGAAGTGAAAATGAATGTGAGCAGTATGCGGGCAAAAGTGTGCTCAGTAAAGTGTCCGGAAAGTGCCCGATTACTGCTCGGAAAAGCAATAAAATCTGGCAGTATTCATCAGATTTCCAGATAGGATACTGCCACAATACTTGCCGGATATCTCAGGTATTCGGGCAATATCCGGGCAGTAAATTTCCTTTGATGTCCAGTGTAAGCTAATCTGAAGATAATCCAAAGGGATAATCCAAAGGATAATGCTAAAAATTATTCAAAGGATTATCCAAAGCCAAAATCAATTTAAGAACTTGCACCCAGCCAGGATTAAACTCTCAACCTCAGGTGAAAGTCACATGACCAAGAAACTCCAGACACTTTAACCACTACTCCACATAACCTTAACAGTTTACACTCATGCATAATATATATAGTAAATTTTGCTGAAAGGACTTAGACAAATTCTGCTCATCACAAAAGTGATGGCTGAGTTAAACATAAGACAAAGGCTGTCACTTTGGGGTACTCTTCAGACCTAGCTCTTAGCTTCAACATAACTTGTAGTGTATTGTAGCTAAGGGCTTCTCAGATGACTAACTAATCATAGTACTAACACATGTCCCAGGGCATTATATGTAATTATCCAGAATATAGATAGGATATAGACTGGTTCATCTTATAGTACTAGTGTATTCACTAGTTGTTCTATAATGTCAGGGGTATATAAGATGTCCCACTATTTACTTTAGAGCACTTTTCATCTCTAGCTCTTAGCAACAAAATCTTTTATAGTATGTCATTGCTAAGTCTCTCTTAAGTGCCAGTATAATTATAGTACCAATACATGTCTCAGAGCATTGGCTATAGATAGGATGTAAGCTGAGCATATGAGATAAATCTTGTGGGGGATATTCTACTAAGCTAGAATATTGATACTCTGATGTAAATACATCTTATATACCCCTGACATTATAAAACAACTAGTGAATACACTAGTACTATAAGATGAATCAGCCTATATCCTATCTATATTCTGAATAATTACATATAATGCCCTGGGACATGTGTTAGTACTATGGTCAGTCAGTCATCTGAGAAGCCCTTAGCTACAATACACTACAAGTTATGTTGAAGCTAAGAGCTAGGTCTGAAGAGTACCCCAAAGTGACAGCCTTTGTCTTATGTTTAACTCAGCCATCACTTTTGTGATGAGCAGAATTTGTCTAAGTCCTTTCAGCAAAATTTACTATATATATTATGCATGAGTGTAAACTGTTAAGGTTATGTGGAGTAGTGGTTAAAGTGTTTGGAGTTTCTTGGTCATGTGACTTTCACCTGAGGTTGAGAGTTTAATCCTGGCTGGGTGCAAGTTTTTAAATTGATTTTGGCTTTGGATAATCCTTTGGATTATCCACATGGCCTGCTTATTAAACCCAGATTTCAGCCTTAATTGTAACTTATAAGCACTCAAGATTATCCCTCATAACTGACATCACTGACATATGACATTCAACTCACCACTCACTTTCCCTATTTTTCCATTGGTCCCAGACCATTGCAACTCTTTCCAATGTCAGGATCCATTGTCTGACATTTTGCAACTTTCACATTTTCTCTCACATTTTCCCCTCTCTATAAATACCTGCTGTATCTATGTTGATTATCATTGAAGACCAGTAAAGAGGAGTTTCCCTTTCACTTCAGATCACTGAGAAGCTGCATGTACTGTGATAGCGACTTCAAACTGCAATATACTCTACTGCAACACTATAATATAGCGAGACTGCATACTGCATTTAGAGACTGCAACTGCAACTGCAATAGTGAACTGCAACACTGTAATAGTGACATAGTGACATAGCGACACTGTGATATATCACCTGCATTAGTCTTACTCCGACTTTTGCATTTAACTGACTGCGACTTCATCGAGATGGCAAATACTGTGTTTCTCCATAGTGTTTCTGTCACAGATACTTCCTCTCCACTTGTGATTTAGTTCACCTTTGCCTGCAAGTTCAGCAATTCTGATGCAATCTTAGCTTTTCACTTTCTGACTTTTTGTGACTTCATTGTATTTTGTCGCCCAACTTCACATTTTCATCACAAGTCTTTATTCTTTTACAGGTAGCATCCCTTTAGGCTTTGATCAAGGTTTTGGGACCCACTTGCATCATTTTACAGTCACATCACCCTTCCCTCTCACACACAAATCCCTTCTGGTTTTGGTTGGGTTTTAGGTGTTTGTGTCAGATGTGCACTCATCACCATCATATTACTAACCATCAGTGATGCCTCCTATTGTAATTCAATGCACCCACAAAGGGCCTAAAGTGTTGTGTATAAATAACCATCTTGTAGTTCCTTGTAATTAAGCTGGTGAGACCATTGTAATACAATTGACAATTGACAAAACAAGGTGTCCACAGCATGAATTAAACTCTGAACCTTGCAGAGTTTTAACTATTTATTACAATAACTGATGCTTTAGTCCACTGAGCCATATGTCCTTGTAATGATACACCCTTCAATTAGATACAAGTGGTTCTTTTATATTATATGTAAATTAAAGTACCACATACTAGTCTATTAACTCTTTAACTAAACTGTAATATAAGTAGTTTCTATAACAGAGTTAGAACCATTTAAATTCTTAAATATTGTATGAAACTTATAGATTAACTGTTCAAAATCAGATAAATAATTGTCTAGAACTCTGACTTGTTAAAATTAAGTTGAATATGTGGAAGGTTGGAGTATAGTAACAAAATATTTGTAACAAAGTGCTAATTTTATAAAAAGAAAAGGCACTTAAATTTAGTTAAGATCAGAATTGTATAAGAATATATTCAAGGCTCTACTAATCTATCAGTAAATGATTTTAACTACATATTTAACTTACTTTTAATAAGACATAGTTCCATATAATTATTTATCTGATTTTGAACAGTTAATTTATAAGTTTTATATAATGTTTAAGAATTTAAATAGTTCTAACTTTGTTATAGAAACTACTTATATTATAGTTGTCAGCATGTGGGTGCTGGTGCGATCAGTAGGTGTAACTAGTTATTTGTTGCGGTGGTGGTACATAAATTTTGATGCAGTAAGTAGGCCTAACTAGTTTTAATGTAGAGCACTTTGTATGTCTTCTACTACCATTTTAGTTAAAGACTAAATAGACTAGTATATCTAATTGGAGGATGTTGTGAGCCAGTCGACGACTGGCAAGTACTCGGAGAACAGAACAGAAATGAAATATCTTTGTTGGAACATACAGAGAGAGATCTGGTAAGTATCGAGTGACCTAAGTAACGAGCAACGGAACATACCTTCATTGAAACATACAGAGAGAGATCTGAGTTCCAACGAAGGTGCGAGATGTAATATCGACTATGTCGAGAGATGCTGCATGTGATCCTAAGCCGGAGTTACACTCCTCCCTGCGGTAAGAACAAGAACACAGTTGTGAAAAAAAATGAAAGGCAAAATTACAGTTTAGTGAGGCGCAATAAGTAAGTATGCATCTAGGGCAGCCAGGTCTTTAACTTTGCGGCAGGGTAGCCAGAGGCCATGTTCCGGTCCATAGCCACAGAAATGAATGAGGTATTGGAAATCACGCCCACGAGGATGGTGATCAATGATTGACTTGACTTCTCATTCTTCTACACCATTGTCTATGACGATTGGACCAGGTTGAGCATGTTGTCTGCCAGGGAAGAGAGAAGCATCATTTTCAGCCCATGGTTTGAGGAGGAAAGAGTGGAAAGTTTGGAATATATGCATGGAGTCTGGGAGATCGAGTGTGTATGCCAAGCTGTGTGGGTACGCGTGTAGTATTGTTGTGGCTATGAGACTGCGACTGGATGTGATGATGGACACGTGGCTGTGACTGTAGCATGAAAAGATGGACTCTAGTGTAGAACTACCTCAGTCGAGTACCACCATGGGACGCGACTGAGTCTCATAACTGTAATAGGTTATGAGCCCCGTGAGCCAAAACTGATCACCCAGACGAGACATGTCCCATTACAACTTGACCTCGATGCAAGCAGACCAATCACTGCGATAAGACTCGATGGAATGACACCACGAGCAGTCTTTTTGGGTACCCGAAGGCCAGTAGCCCGTAAGAGGACCATATTTTTTGACTCTAGTTTCCCCTATATTCCTCCCCGATGCCAACAGACATGAGACTTTCGATTTTACCAGAGTCCCAGCAGCTTGCACGGGACAACTGGCTAGAGTGGAAGCGTAGGATCCTCGCTATATGCGGTCCGAAATGTCTTGTCGGACACCTGGATGGCACTAAAACATGGCCAAACTACCCGACGCCATTGATTGATGAGTGGGAGGACCGTGATGAGCTGGCTAAGTCCACCATTACACTTAACATCCGTGACCTCATCGGCAGCAGCGTTGATCTCGATGAAACTGCTCATGAGATATGGACGAAGCTTACGCAGATTCGAGAAAATAGGAGTGAGCTAGCAGCGTCAAATGCAGAGAATTTTCTTTGCGCATTGAAGTACACCCCGGGTGCAGACCTAGAGTTGCACTGGACGGAATTGTGATGCCGCTACAAGATAGCTACTGAACTCGGTTCTTCTATCTCCAAATCTGCCTTTGCCCTCATTGCTTGCCACTCCATGCCCCCTTCCATGAATGATATAACCACTGTCTTACAGCTCAACCCAGATCCCGACGAGGTCATATAGCTTATCACAACACTGTATCACAGTCAGCAAATTCGTGCTGGAGTTCCGATGAACCCTTTTGGAGGAAACTCCGATTTCTCTACAAACAGCATATCAAAGACACAGGCCTTCTTCACTACTGCAGCAAAAGTGATCTGCGATTGGTGCGGGGGGCCAGGACATACCAAGGACAGATGTTACTGCGAAGGTGGCGGTCGAGCAGGGAAACAGCCGGCTACGTGGAAGCATGCCCCCCGGGCCAAGCAGGGTTCACCTGCCGACCTTGCTGCTCGTGCCAAGGGGGGTTCCATGAATGCAGCGAACAATGCCAGTGCGAACTTGACATCTGCGTCCACGTCTCACCATCCCACTTTGTTCTATGACTATAATATCTTCCTCGCCAATGCCTTCATCACAGCAGGGTCTATATGTGGTAGTCTTAACTGCGCGTTCATTGACTCTGGCGTGACACACCACTACTTCCGTGACCGTACAAACATCGTTGATTACCTCCCCATTACGCCTATTGTCGGTAACACAGCGAAAGAAGGCTCCACATTCACAATGGTCGGTGTCGGTACGGTACGCATACAAGTGGAAATCAACGGACTAAAATCCATTGTCACCTTCCAGAATGCTATGCATGCTCCTGACCTTTCTGCCAATCTGATCTCACTATCCAGGATTGATCGTAGCGGTGGTGCAGCCATTGTCGAGAATGGAATACTCAAGATTGTTGGCGATGGACGTTCAATCTTAGAGGGTCGTCTCACTGATGGCGACTTATACGAGGTTCACTTCCAGCACGTTGACCTTCCTATTCTCAGCACCCTCCCCGAGGTGCATATAGCCTATGATCCACGTGCAGTTGCATTCTCGGCAGTGACCAGTGGTGGTCCTGTGAGCATTGCCACTTGGCACCACCGTTTAGGCCATGCAAGTGAACGTACTATCAGAGCGATGGCCTCGCAGCAAGTGGTCGATGGGCTGATCCTCACGGATGAGAAACCTCTGGGGAAATGTGAAGACTGCTTGAAGGGGAAAATGTCCGCAGCGCCTTTTCATGAATCACAGGTGGAGGAAGAGGTGCTCGAAAGGGTCTACATCGACCTCATGGGGCCGTTCCAGGCAAAATCTCTTGGCAGTGCAGAGTACGTACTTACGATCGATGACGATGCATCATCCTATTCCTCCATCTACCTCCTTAAAGGCAAAAGTGCAGAGGAGACACTGAAACACTTTCAGGACTTCCATCACATGGCGGAGCACCAGACAGAGTACAAACTCAAATGTGTCTGTTCTGACAATGGCGGCGAGTTCATGAATGCTACCTGGGACAAATACCTCCTCAAACATAGTATCATCTATGAGTCGACAACTCCCTACACTCCACAGCAGAATGGCTTAGGTGAGCATGGGCACCGGACACTAGCGAAACATGCTCGTGCAATGCTGTTTGATGCTGGTGTCCCGAACTACCTATGGGGTGAAGCATTCATCACAGCAGCATATGTTAAAAACCTGACTGCATCCTCATGTCAATGCGGCCTCACCCCATATGAGAAGTGGTTCAAACACAAACCTAACATCTCTCACCTACATGCTTTTGGCAGCATCGCATATGCAAAACTCGCTGATGAGACTCGCTTCAAACTCGATCCCAAATCCGTCAAGTGTATTTTGGTTGGATACACTGGTGATGCAAACTACCGCCTTTGGGATCCTATGTCTGGACCTCATGGGACTACCTTTTGCAGCCACAAAGTTGTCTTTGAGGAGGGTCCTGGGCACCGTAGCATCAATGAGGAAGGTGTCGTCAACATCGACCTACCTAATATTGAGCGACGGGTACCAGCACCGCTTCCCATTCCACCACCTGTCGATCATGTACCCGCTGTAGATGACCCTCATGTGGGACGTGACCCTGCAGACATTCCCATGGAACATCTTCCAGAGCATCTCCCAGCTCACCCGATACCACAGGCCCTCAAACCACATTGCTCTGCGCGTACTCACATCCCAACCTGTGCTCTTCAGGAGTCCCAGGAGTCGGAGGCCCGTGAGCAAGCTGCACATGTGCGTGGTGAAGCATGGGCGGACAATTCTATTGCACTGAACCATGATTGCGTGGGCGCATATATGGCTATGCTGATCCAGGGGGAGAAACAGAAGCCTACAGCTTTTGTGCATGAGGGTGGTGTCACACCTTCTACTTACAAGGAAGCAGGTCAACATGCAGACATCTGGCAACCGGCCATGCAGACTGAAATTGATGGGCTACACAAAATCGGCGCATGGCAACTGTTACCAAGGACAGCTGGAATGAATGTCGTTGGCTGCAAATGGGTCTACGCACGCAAATTCGATGAGACCGGGAAATGGAAAGCCAAAGCGCGCCTCATTGCAAAAGGTTTCCAACAGATTCTGGGCATTGATTACTTCGAAACACATGCCTCCGTCATCCATTTTGAATCTCTGTGGATGATCTGTGCCATAGCGACTTTCAACGACATGGAAATGGGCCAAGATGACGTTGAGAAAGCATACCTTAATGCGACGCCACAGGAGATGATCTACATGGAGCAACCCCCAGGCTTTGTCGATGCGGAATTCCCAGACCATGTTTGCCTGATGCAACGCTCTCTATACGGTTTCATGCAGTCTGGAAATGATTGGGTGGAAAGAACTGAACAGGACTTACAAAGGCCTTGGCTTTGCTCATAACCGTGCCGATGAGTGCGTGCGAGCGAGGCAAGATGATAATGGTGTAATGGTCACAGCAACATACACTGATGATATCAGTTCCTGCACGGACACTGTGGATGGCCTGGGAAGGATACGTGGAGAGATCGGTACGCGTTACCACCTCAGCGGAGGGGGAGATTTCAAGTACATGCTTGGGGTTATCATCAAGAGGGATCGCGATGTCAGAACAATGAGGATATCGCAGCACCCATACGCTGAACGCGTGCTCAAAAGATTCAGCATTCAGTACGCAAATCCTGTTCATACCCCGCTCGAACCCAGCATCAAGCTTGGACTTGCCACTGAGCCGATCACATCTGATGAAGCCCTGGAGATGGCGACTGTCCCTTACCGCGAGGCCTTAGGCACGATCATGTATCTCGCTGTTACAACACGCCCTGACCTCTCATATCCAGTTCAAGTCCTCAGCCGTTATATGGCCAACCCAGGTATTATACATTGGAAGGCACTGAAATGTGTTTTGAGGTATATCAAAGGGACTTTGGATTACGGGATAACATTCTGCGGCCCTCCTCATCCGCTGTCGACACTACAACCCACCATTTACTCAGATTCCTCACACGCAGATTGTCCGGATACAGCTCGGTCTACTCATGGATATGTTGCTGTGATGGCAAGTGCACCAGTCTCATGGAGCTCTCACCGACAGGATGTCGTAACATTGTCCACCACCGAGGCAGAATATATTGCGGCTGTTCATGCAGGACAGACAGCAATGTGGATTGCAAAGTTCATGGACAACATCCACAACCCAGTCACATTGCCTGTCAACATCCGCATGGACAGCTCAGGGGGAGAGAGCCTTGCGAAACGTTCTGCCAACTTCACGCGTGTCCGGCACCTGCATGGGCGGTATCATTGGTTGCGTGACGCGATCCGCTTGAAGGAGATCGACATCATCCACATCCCGGGTGCGGACAACCCAGCGGACATCTTCACCAAGTCACTTTCTCAACCAGTTCTCCACAAGCATTTGTTATTTTTGGGTGTTGCAGCTTAGAGGGAGTGTTGTGGCTATGAGACTGTGACTGAATCTGATGATGGACATGTGACTGTGACTGTAGCATGAAAAGACGGACCCTAGTGTAGAACTACCTCAGTCGAGTACCACCACGGGACGCGACTGAGTCTCATAACTGTAATAAGTATGGTATATGGTCCATCAAAGTGTACCATGAATTTGGCAACCCAATGGTCACCTCGTTGCATGTAGTCGCATTGTCTGTGGAAGGTGGAGAGCAGAACTCGATCCCCAATATTGTAGATGATCTCAGATCCTCACAAGCAGTTAGCCAGTGCTGCCTGGTTCACCTTCACGAGGAAGAGATTGTCCTGAGCCTCCAAAATGTCGGTCTCAATAAAACAGATGAGTTTGGACACGAGCTCCACTTCAGAGGAGGTGTCATCTGTCAATGATGCCTTGAAAAGTGAGGGAATGAGATACGGAGAATGACCCATTCACAAGTGGAAGGGGAAGAATCCCATTGACTCATTCACAGTGTTCATGATGGCAAATCAGACACAGGAAAGTGCATGTACCCATCCATGCTGATTGTGAGAGACGTGGTAGCGCAGGCACTGAATGACCATTTTGTTTGTCTGCTCCGATGAGCTGTCTGACTGCAGATGGTACGCAGAGGACATCTTAAGCTTCACACCTGTGAGGCAGTGTAAGGCTTTCCAGAAGGTACTGATGAACAGTTTATCACAATCAGAGATGATATCAAGAGGTAGGCCATTCTCGCAGTACCAGTGGTTGAAGAACTGTGCAGCAAAAGTCTCAGCAGCAATGTCGGACCGAGTGAGGATGAGATGAATATCAGAGTTCAAACAGTTGGTCACTGTAGCAAGGCAATCGAAGCCATTGTCTTCAGGTAAAGGACTGATGAAGTCGATGACGATACTATTACACCAGCTGAGTGGAACAGGTGAAGGGTGGAGAGGCCAGGGGGGTTTGCGTGTGGAGGAGTTATTGCACTGGCAGTTATCACACACAGGTACGTACATCTCCTCAGTTCCTTGCACATGTTCAGCTGGTAGTAAGCATCATGAATGGCCGTGTAAGATTTGTCAAAGCCGAAGTGGCCCAGGGCGTCATGAGTGAGGTGAAAGATCCCTTCCCAGATCTTAGGCACATGGGGTATGATGAGGCAGTCTGCGAGATAGAGAAGACCATCTTGCTCATGGAGAGCAAGTGAGCTGGTATTCTCACGTAGTTTTATGCACCACTTGTCGAGTAGGTAGCCATCCTTGATGGAAGATAACCACTAGGGGTCAGAAGTGACGGAGAGGCGAGAAGCGGTGCAGGCATAATGGTGTGTGTCTTCAGGTATGTCACAGAGGGAGAGGGTAGCTACATGCATAAGATGAATGGCAGCAGAAGTGGTGGGTTCGACAAATACAGCATCTGAAGAGATGCACGATAGAATGTCGGCAGCAATGTTATCCTCACCTTTGATATAATGAATATCAAAGTCATACTGTGCAAGGAATTCCTGCCATCGTGCCTGTCATCTGGAGAGTTCCTTTTGGTGAAAGAAATTCTCCAGCATGCAGTGGTCTGTGTAAACTGTAAAGGGGACTCCAAGCAGATCACTACACCACTTTTTGAGGGTACGTATGATGGCAAGGAGTTCCTTTTCATGGACAGGGTAGTTGAGCTCAGTGCTCTTAAGTGGCAGGACTCAAAGGCGACTGGGCAGGTGGTCTCGAGTGTCTCTCCATATGAGAGAAGAGCACCAGTGTGAAAATTGCTGGCATTGCACGATACGAAGATGCAGTGTCGTGTGTTACTTGGGGCAGGAACAATTACTTGTTAGCTGTTAAATACTAAACAACTAAATAAAACTAGTTGTAAAGAGAAGTGTGCTGATGGACTGGTGCTCCAAATTATACTGGGTGTAGCGGTAGTTGTCATTCCTCGGCCAGAGGCTCAGTTGAGTTCATTCAAGAATAACTGTACTGCAACTAATATTCTACCTTACAGTGTACTTGTTTGTGCTAGTTTTCTTATACTAGCTTCAATTGTTTGTTCAGATTGTAGTTGAATCTATTCTTCAAGAAGTTGTTAGTAAAACCTGATAGTACTTCTCTTACCTTGTCTGAATATTAAATCTTGCTCTAGTTTCTGTTACACAGCAGCGAAACATGAGCGTCAAGTCGAGTCGTCACGAGACAAGGTTTTAGTCTAAGACACACATCCGTTCAAGAGACACTTCTGGCGATGTCTTCGCACTGAAGGTCGATCAGAGTTCGTTTTTATGACTCGCAGTAGCTGCTACTGATGGTCGATCTCAGTCAAAGGCAAGTGAAAAGCTGGTTTAATGGTAACCAGGTCGAGATGGGGATCCAGCTTGATGAGGTCGTCTACTTATACAAAAGGTATCCGCAGTACTACGCAGTAATATGGGATTGTTCATTGGCTAGATAAGGTGAAACAATGTCTGGGCAAGGTAACAGCGAGGAAGTAATATATATGGGAAAGCTGAGTAAGATCGTGAGAGATAATCAGTACTAATGGGGATAACAAGTCATGTATCAGAATGAGGTAAAGATGGGGCATACATGCACGTCCTGCATGTGTGATAAGGAGATGGTCCGGAGTTGGATCTGGTGTAATCCTAGACTAGGGGTTCTGGTCATCTGGACAGAGAATCGGAGTTTGTGCTCCGATGAGTCACGTGTTGGATCACGTGGTCTGGTAAGGTAAAGGGAACGAAGAAAAGAAAAAGAAAAGATGTGCCATAACTGAGGAGCATTGTGACATCAGCTCCCGTCTAACATTTCTTGTCCCACAAGAAGTATTGTAGTCTTCATCGTCATCGGGGGCAGTCCTGAACATAATGATCACCTTCACATCTGTAGCACGTCCGCCGGCCAGTTTGTGGTCCTTGTTCATGTGTATGTCCATTACGATAGGGATAACTGTGACGTGAAGAAGTCGATGCGTGTGAGAAGGAGGATTGCGATAATGGGGATTGACCTGTAGGTACGTGTGAACGAGGAGGGCGAGGTCGAACAGGAATCGGTTCTGGTGATGAACGAGGAGTGGATCCGAGTGCTCCATTGACAGTATACCCGAGGATGTGTCCGATGTCTTCATCCCCATGCTCCCTCCAGATTTCCTGTGCTGTACGAGTGACCGTACTGCGCATCAGAGACCAGACTTGGTCGACTCTGGTTCAGGCTTTACTCGTCCTCTCCTCTGCTGCGATGAGCTCTTGTCTGGCCATCTGCATCCACTCGACCATTTCTAATGCTCATTGCATAGAAACCACCGCTTGTCGATCTTGCGGGCGATTCCGTACGGCGACAAGAATATCTGTGAAGTCGACGAGGATGCAGATGGCAGAGATCAGATGCATGGCAAATTCTTGTTCATCCGATGCATGACTGAGTTCGATCGAAGGTGAAGGCGATGAAGTGTGGATGAAGGGTGTCTGTGTTCGGGAGGGTATTCCATTGACAAGTGTAGGTGATGCGAAGATGCTCATAATCATAGAAGCGACTTCAGCGAGTATGTTGTGAACAAGGTCGTCTATAGCAGAAGTGGGCATTGATGATATGTTGTTTTCTCCTCCTTTTATACCTTTTGGTCATTAAGGGGATCGCAATTATCTGTGATGTGAAATAGAATGTCGTGAATGTGGGTGACAATCAAAGAGATGAAAATCCATTAGGCAATAAAGAGTATTCCCACGGAGATAAGAACTGCCTGGTCAGTTCCAGGCATTGTTCTGATCACCCCAGCTGTTAGCATGTGGGTTGTCTCGTGTGAAGAGCATGTGTTCAACGAGTCGTCTGATAAGGATTCGGTGGATGATTTAAAGGAAAGTGAGGGTTGTGCAGTGGAGGATGATTAGGAAGATAACGAGGAATGCCATCATGGTAGTCATTCCAATTTCCTCATCCTCTACTTGATTCACCTGGTCCTTTTATATGCGTCGAGGGTCTGCTTTGCATTCTGTAAATTGTGGGCAGGTTCCCATGAGTTTTCTGCTGACGAATATCCCTTCCACTTGACTAAGTACCTCAGGTGACCTCAGTATGCCTTGTGATTCAGGATGGCTTCGACTTCGTACTCTTCTTCGTTATCCACGACATCAGGTGGTGGGTTCACGTAATTCGGACCATGTATGTCATTTTCGTGATAAGGGGATAGAAGGGCGGCGTGGAATACGAAATGAACTCGCCAGGTCTTCGGGAGTCTGAGGCAATAGTTGGCTGGTCCGATGACCCTCAGACGGATGGAGAAACAGAACGAGTCAACCAGGAGCTGGAAATCTATCTTCGACTCTATTGCGGAAACAACCCTGAAACATGGGCCGATCGCCTGCCAGACCTCGAGTTTTGTCATAACACGAGGGAACACTCGGCACGGAAGATGAGCCCATTCTGCATCATGATGGGATACGAACCATGTGGACTCCCTTCCGTATTCCCAAACATGAACATTCCATCAGTTGAATCCAGGCTTGACATGTTGCAGAAGGTAAGACTAGAAGCACTAGCCATGCACGAGTTAGCCTGACAACAGATGGCGCACCGAGTCAGACAAGGATCGCCAAAGTTTACACTAGGACAGAAGGTCTGGCTAGACTCGAGGAACCTGAAGGTCAACTACGCCTCGTGCAAGATAGCTCCAAAGCGTGAGGGGCCATTCGAAATCATTGAAGTGATAAGCTGTGCTCATGGATGATCTAATCTGGAGTAGTCGATTTAACTCTTGGAAGACCTTGAATGCATATTGAGGTCCTCTATCCGAGATGATTCGATCAGGTAATCCGAATCGCAAGTAAACTTTTCGTGAAAAATCTTGACTGTCCCTTCAGCTGTGATCATTTTGAGGCAGGGCATAAGAATCACCCCCTTCATAAGGTCATGGTTTACTATGACCATAATCGAATCAAAGCCATTGGAAACGGGGAGGTCGGTGATAAAATCTGTGGTGCAACAGGAAAATGGTAATGCATGTGGGTCTGCGGGGATTGGTTCCAAAGGAATACGAGTTGGGTGAGTATTCAGTTTCATCTGTTGACAGGCGGCACAGCCTTCAACGTAATTGTTGACAAATGCATACATGCCGGGCCACCAAAATTCACGGCGTAGCAGTTCAAGAGTATTGAATTTTCCAGGGTGTCCCATGGCAGGGGAGTCGTAATGTAGTCGAATGAGGTCATAACGAAGAGGTTCGGATGGTGGAACATAAATCTTTCCCTTGTAAAGGATGACACCATCGCGAACTTCCCAGTCGAAGAGCGAGGACTTCATTGGGAATGGCCCTTTATGCGCGATCACTTCAAGGGCTTCATGAACAATGAGGTCCTTTGCTGCGTGATTTCTGATTTTGTCAAATAGCATCGGGGAAATGGATCGCACAAACAGTGCATCAGGTAAAAGGATGCGATCTTCATTGTCACATTCACTGTCATCGAGTCCATTACGACGAGATAGCGCAT